TTTCTGGTTTGTTCCTGCTGTCAACTAGAAAGGGCTGCGTTTTAAAGCCAAAGTTTGGCTCCTTCTAAAGCTCTTCAGGTTTCTCAGTGACTTCTATCCTTGTTCTTCCCTCCTCCTCCCTCCTTTTGTGTCTTTCAGGAAACGACAGCAGGATCAAGACAGCGGCCAAACTCCCCACAGCTCTGACTCTCTCCGGGCTGGTGGAAGTGAAGGAGGTACGTGTGTACTAACCGCTTCCACAAACTCCTTCGTGCAGTTACCTTGACAAATAAGTGGTGATTCCTGGGGATCTCGCGGGGTGACGAGGGGTTTGGCTACCCTGGTTTGCTGTAAATGTGCACAGACGCTGCCTGCCACAAACTTCAGTTACTTGCAAGGCTTTTTAGGATTGAAAATACCGGTTGCCTGTGTTTGTTGGAATGCTGGGCTGGGCTCTGAAATAAGAGGTTCTGCGTGAGGGTAACCTAAAATCTTAACGTTGCAGCTGCAAAAGGAAGCGCTGACCCCAGAGGAGGCCCGGTCGGTCCGAGAGCATTTGGGTTACCAAGGCGATGACCTCCTCATCGTTCAGATAGAAGGCAGGAAGCCCGATTTCGAAGTGGGATCCTCCAGTCAGCTCAAGCTTTCCTATGCCAAGAAACCTGGTCCTTCAGGTAGGAGGCGGCGCGTGCCGGGTGCCTGGGTTGCCGGCCTCTCCCTCGACGCAGGGAGGCAGCTCTTGGATGGGGTAAAAAACTGTGAAGTGGGACTTCCCAAAGTTGTTGGAATTCTCTCCGTGGGGAGTAGGTGGGGTGAAGGCCGGAGTAACTGCTGCTTCTGCCTTTATTTTGGCTCCAGGAAAACCCTCTGTGGACCCAGCTACGGCCAAGCTGTGGACGCTCTCTGCCAACGATATGAACGATGAAGAGATGGTATCTGGTTTTATTTGTGAGGCTTTGCTGGTTTTCCTTCTCTCTCTTCTTTCCTTCTCTAAATCATTTCAGGCATGCCTCTTGGAAACTTGACAAATCACTTTCCCGCACGTTATGTTGTGTTTTCAGGATCTTTTGGACTCTGATGAGTTGTTGGATTCGGAGGATTTGAAAAAGCCAGATCCGTCGTCCCTCAGAGCTCCGTCCTGCAAAGAACTGGGCAAAAAGAAAGCCTGCAAGAACTGGTCAGTGCTGGGGTTAGCTTTGGGGTGAACCTGTTAACTGAAACGTCAAACCCTTAGCGTTGGATGCATTTTTAAAAAGTTGGTAAACACTTTGCTGCCCTTCAGAGCATAATTGTCTTGGTCCACGTCCTTTCTTAACTATGTGAACATAAATCCAAATACAGTGAGAACTGACAAATTCAATCCACTGCTGCAAGTTACCACACGGATACAATCAATAATCTTCTGGAAGGTGGAGACACTGTGAGGCCTTGGCTAAAAGCCTGGTTTCTCAGATTTCGAGGAGAAATAGCACATGTAGCAAGTGCTGTGGAGTTATTTGCCACTCGATTTAAACTTGAGAAGTGTTGTTTCGACACATGGTGTTGAAGAGCAAAGTGAAGAGTGTTAAAGTCCCGGAGTCGTGTGACAGCGAGGGCTGAGATGTGGGAGCAGGGCTGGAACAAGTGTCGGCGACTCGGGACCTTGAAGCAGCAAGATGTAGGTGACTTCTGTCTTTTTCTACAGCACGTGTGGCCTGGCTGAAGAACTGGAACAGGAGAAGAAGAGCTCACAGCCCAAATCTGCTTGTGGAAATGTAAGGAGTGGGGTTTGTTTCTGTGCCGTGGTTCACGGGACGCGATCTGTGTCTGAGAACCGCGTTCTCTAGTGACTGCTCCCTGGGCTGCCATGCAGCTTCCTCACGGGAGCGCAGTGGGGACTGGGTTTGGGGATTTGGGGACTGCCCAAGCCCAGCTTATGTGGGGAACTCGCTTCTTCCGCGTGAGCGCAGGCTGCTAACCACGTTAACAAGCCGCGGTGAGAAGGGGATGCAAAGGAAGCGTTTTCTATGCGGGTATGTGCTTAGGAGCATGTTGGCTTTTAAACTGGAAAAGCCGTATCGTGACGGGAGAGAACTGACAAGTTGCTTTTGATTAAAGAGGGGCTTTTCTTTCCCCACAGTGCTACCTGGGGGACGCGTTCCGCTGTGCCAGCTGCCCCTACCTGGGGATGCCTGCCTTCAAGCCCGGGGAGAAGATTCTCCTGAAAGAGAACCAGCTGCATGATGCCTAACGAAGGCACCTCGGGATGTCCTGCAAAGGACTCCTCTGCTTTTCCATCAGCCTGAGGTTCTTCCTGCAGTCCTCCTCATCCTCTCAAACTCACACTCTCCGGCCAATAACCCTTGTGGGGAGGGACACTTGTGGGCACCGCCACTGCTGCGAGCTCATCACTTGTAATCCCCCTCGGGCTACCTGATCATCTCTGGTGACGAGCCATCTCCTATGTGTTAGACTTCATGTTGCGCCTTACTCCAGCCAGCTGCCACTTCATCCTGGGACGCTGGCCGTCACAGCAGCTCCCACCAGCAGAGGGAAGTAGAATCAAGCATCAGGTTGACCTTGTATTTGCCTGTGGCAGGACAGGGAACTTCCCGGTCTGTGTTCACTTCTAATCTGCCTTGATTTTTTTTTCCCCCCGATGAATCAGCAGCCCTGGCTCGGCTTTCAAGGTGACACCGGGCTCCTGCTCTCTTTGAAATTTGAACGTGCAGTTCTTTCCTACGTGAAGGTGGTTCCAGATTTGTGAGTGCGCTTAGCGGGGTGTACTCTTCTCAACTCCTCGGTAAAGCCTGGCAAGCGGGAGTGTTTTGGGAGCCTGCCCCTGAGAGCCCCTGTCCCCGCTGATTGCCATCCAAACGACAAAGATTCAATCCCACCGAGAAAACTCCTGGCCTTAAGGCAGGGAACAAATCAAATAGATTCCATCCTGTCCTCCCCAGCGTGATAACACAAGGGCAGCCTGAGACTGCCCCCTCTCTTGGTGGTTGCCAAGTTACCCGTGGTGTCCAATACACAAGAACATAGCAATAATTTAATTTCTAGACGATCTGCGGTCACCATCTGCTCCCGCTCTGTGAGATACTGACTGCTTTTTATTTATTTGCGTAATTAATGCTAACAAATCACCCGCGCAGGTGCGGGGTGGGGGAGCTGGGCGCGTTTTGTGCCAGGCTTTTTTGCCCATGGAGGAAGCTGAGGAGAACCCCAAGCCGGTGTCTGAGCAGGGAGTGCTTTAGTTGGAGCTCTTGGCTCTACGGAACGTGATTGCTTCTTGTTGTGCTGCCTGAGTTGTGCTCTAAACTCACCGAGGGAGCCGGGGTGGAAAGGTGTTCTCAAAATAAAAGTGACCTATAGCAAAGGACTTGTTTTAAGACTGGTCTTTGCAGCATTTGAAGTGTGTATCCTGTTACTCGGCCTCCTGTCATCAGTGAGAACAACTCCCAGGGAGAAACGAATCTTGTGATAAACCTCCTGCCCTACAAACCTGTTAGCACTCCCAGCTCGTGGTCTGAAGAAGTGGGTGAAAGTCTCTTGGCACCTATGACATTTTGGGGGGTTTATTGTCTTTGTCTTTTTTTTTTCAGCGCAAGATTAGATCTGCGCAGAGAATCATGGAATCATAGAACACTTTCAGCTGGAAGAGACCTTCAAAATCATCGAGTCCAACCTTTTCCCAGCCCTACCAACCCCACTGACCCACATCCTTCAACCCAACACCCACCTGTCTGTTCAACACCTCCAGGGATGGGACTGAACCCCCTCCCTGGGCAGCCTGTGCCAGCGCTGACAGCCCTCTCAGTAAAGAAATTCTTCCCGATACCCAACCTGAACCTCCCCTGGTGCGACTTCAGGCCATATGTCTCTATGTGAAAGGTTTTGGCTAAAGGCAGCCCTTAACCTGAACTTCCCTTTGAGGAGTAAATAAGATAAGAGGGAGGAGGCAGCAGCAGAAGCTTTTGTTTTATGGTGATTCACTCACCGGGAATTGAAATGAGGTGGAAGCACTTTCCATACTGCTCGGGGTTAAGGCCCTATAACCTTGTTCTCCTCTGTGTCACTCGCTCTTGCTGTGCAAGGGGACCGCAGGTGGTGACAGCTTGGCAAAGGGGCATCAGCCGGGTGGCAATATGCTCCCATCAGGCTGGTTTTGAGGAGTATTTATCTTTTTAGCCCCCTTCCCTTGGCTGCTACAGCCTCCAGCCACCCTGCCTGCCCTCGCCTCCTCCTGTCCCGCCACCCGCTCTGTGCTTGCCGGGGCGGTTCTTGTACCCAGGGGTGAGGCTGTGCCTAGAAGAGAATGTTTCAGTTGGAATGGACCGACTGAAGAGATTGGCTCCCTTGCAGCTGGGCGGGTGGCGAGGGGCCTCAAAGGAGGAAGAGGAGGAGGATTAACCGAGCTGAACAGGCGCAGTTCACACCCTGATGTGCTGTTGAGCTGGCTCTGCGATGGGGCACTTCTGCAGGGAGTCTCCGTGAACATTTTAAACGTGTGCTGCAGCAGAGTTAAGTCACTAATTTCAGCCATTCTCAGGGAAGTTTCCCTTGACTTTTCTCCCAGTAGCTGGCCTGTTCCCACATTCCTCCGAGCCCTTTGCTCCAGGCAGCTGAAGCCACCCTCTCTCCGAGTGAGCCGGGTACCGCCTGCAGGACTAACAAGCACACTCACAGCTCCAGCAAAGCTGCCAAGAGCAGCAAGGACTGAAAAAATGGTGCTGCGCAACCACATGTGCGCTGGACCGGGGCCTCCATCACCGTTTCCAGTTGTGGGCTTGCTCCTTTGTCTCCTCTCACACGCTTTTTCTTGTGAGATCTTCGTGTGCGATGGTTTTGAAGCATCGTACTAGGTGGTTTTACTTCTTTCAGGGGATTGCATCGTCCCCCCTGCACCGCCGCCTCAGGGAGCATTTTACGCCACTGCAGGCATGTGGGACGTGCAAGAGCTCGGCGCTGCAAAAACGCTTGTCCCCAAGTCACGTCCCTCGCTGGCACGTTGGCAGCCTCATCCACCCCGTTGTTCCTCCTTCAAGCCAGGAGGCAGGCAGGGTCCTACCAGCACCGCTGGACCCCGTCCTGGTGAAGCGTCCTCTTGGAGACATAGAAATAGTCTATTTTACAGAAAGGGGAGGTTTCCTCCAACCCTCCCCAGCAATAAAACCGAATCACAGTGAAGCACCCCAGTTTTCCAGGGGGCCGTGAGGTGCAGCCTGTTGTGCCGCGGGCCAGGTACCCGGCCAAGTGCTGCATCACAGAGCTGAGTGGTGTCTGCTCCTCTTGATGGATGAGATCAGCAACGTTTTTTGCCCTTCTCCTCCTGCCTCTCTTAGCCTCCTTTGAATGTCCTTTTTTTTTTTTCCCCCTGGAGCCTGTTCAGAGGATGCTTTACGGAATCACTCATGGAGAAACACCCCAGTGCATCTACCCCTGCCTCTGGACTCGCAGCTCAGGATGTCCTGTTGCATGTGGTAGCGTCTTTCTGTTGCATGGCCTTGGTCAGGGGAGGCACAAAGAGCCCTGGACTTAAGTGCTGGCTCCGTGCCCACGCCTGCTTTCCTCCCCCTGAATTTGAGCGGCTGGTTTTCCTCCTGCTGGGAGAAACATGCCCGTGCTGGTGGCCTTCAGAGAGCCAGGAAGCTTTTCCCTGCATCTTTGCGGCTTGCTTTACTTGTGCTGCTTTGCTCTTAAAGAAAATGTGATGCCTGCTGGTAACCTTCCCTGCTGGATCTCCTGGATGAGAAGGAGACCAGGAGGGACACGTGACCTCTGGAGAGCAGGGAATAAACCTCTCCTTGTGCCCAGCCCTGACATGTGAGAGCTTCAGAGGCGTTAAAAGTCCAGTGAACTCACCAGAAGAAGTACCATTGATCACCCAATGAATTAACTGCTCCTTTTCCTCAGCTTGAGCTATTTTCCTCCCCCAGTGTCTTCCCCTTCTTGTGAACCTTCTGGTCTCTCCTTTCCTTCTCTTTCTGTGCTCCACTTCCACCCCCTCTTTCTGTTCTTCTTTCTCTAATTCTCTTTTGTTTTCTCTCTTCTCTTTGCTGGCCTCTCTCCTTCTCCCTTCCACACCATCCAAGTGTGCTCCAGTCCTCCCCAGTGCCACCCTCACCCATTCCCATCCTTTCCCTGTTTCTCCTCTTCTGCTCCTTGGCTTTTTTTTTTTTCCTTTTACCCTTTTCTCATCCCAGGTTTTCTCACCATCACCCGCGTCATGTCCCCGTTCTTTCTCATGTGGCTTCCTGCTGCTCTCCCAGAGGGTGGGGAGTGTGGAGGAGGCCAAGCCTCTCGTGTGGGCTCCAGCAAGACCTCATGTTCTACTGAGCCCTTTCTGCAGGAGGTTTGCCTGAGGACCACGTAGGAACCAAGCTGGTGGTGACCATGGCACTGCGGACTTGTCCGCCAGCATCCATCATGGTAGGTGTGGAGCGTGGAGACACCATCAGGCAACAGCTCCCAGGGCTCAGACCCTTCCTCTCCAGAAGTTAAGTGGCTCCTCCATGGTCTCCCCTGGTGTCTGCTGCCACGATTCTGCCCTAAATAAAACCCCAAGTTGGGAGAAGCAGCACTTTGACTTCTGTTTCTCCGTTCCATGCATCAAGCAGAGCTCGTGGAGCAGCAAGGACACCCTCCATGCTCCTGCCACGGAACGCCACCGCGCCCGCCTGCCTTGAGCACGTGCAGGGACAACGGGGACATCCGTCTGTACGGAGGCAGCACGTACATTTTTGGGGCAAAGAGGGCACTGCACATGTTATCGCTTCACCTTCACACGCTTCCTTAACTGCTCGTGATAGCATCTTTCTGAGAAATGAAATTCGGAGGCTCAGCTCTGGCCCTGGTCACTTCACCTTTTTAAAAATAGCTGACGCACAAAGATGCTTGGCCCTGCTCTTCCTGCCTGCGCTTGCAAAAGCTCCTGAGAGGTCTCAGCTAGTTCCTGAAGCAGCCCCGGCTGCGTTTCTTCACCTCTTGCTCGCTCGTGTAACCGCTCCAAGGCTATTTCACAGCTTCTTTCCTGGTTCCTTGTTACAAGCACTATCCCAGACCTGACCCCTCTAATCTTGAGCGCGATGGAAAGCGCAGAGGCAGTGCTACAGACGTCCCAGTTTTCTCCACCTTATCAGTTAATCCATCTTTTCTGGTGAAGCAGTGGGACAAACTTCTCCTTTTCTTTCCTCTTCTTTTCAAGGCAGCCAAACAAACGCAGAGCCTTTTCAGCCCACGGTAGCCTTAACCCATCCCGGACCTCAGCTTTCTGATTTTGCCTCTGCAACTTACTTGTTATGTGATTCTGCTCGTTTCCTTTGTGTTTTTCCTTTCCTC